CTTTCTCCCTCGCAGTCCCAGCTGTGAAAACGAGGTTGCGTTTGTAGGCCAGTCAGCAAGGAGATGATTTATGCAGCAGCAGCGCCGGTTCGGCTCGCTTGTTTTCCCACGGGGGCCGACTGTCCACCTGCAGCCGGATTCCTCGCCAGCTGGAGACCAGTCCCTCCAGGCGGCTCGCTTGCTGAGTGGGGAGCCGCTTTTTCCAGATGGAAAACTCAGCTGCAGCGCTCAACTCTCACACCTCCTGGAGACAAACCTTATGTTTAGGAATTTCTTTGTTTCCAGCCGCTGAAAAAAACCAGCCGCTTCATCTACGCTTCGCTTCGCACGAAGGGATTGGTACAATGGAGAGTTAGAGCCATACTAAGGAAGCAAACTATTATTATGAGAATAAATTCAGAATATTATGAGAATAAAGTCAAATTGATGTGAGAATAAGATCAGTATTTTGAGAATGAAGTCGTAATATTATGACTTTATTCTCATATTTTGACATTTACTTGTACTCATAATTTTATTTTATTTTTTTAATACTCTGTCATAGTCTGGACTCTTGCTTATTGAGAAACGATTGCTTCCTGTAGGTGTGAACTCCATTGAAGTTTTAAACTTTATCTAAACTCTAGCGTTTTCCCGTGACGTACATATTTCTGCAGTTTGGCGCTATGAAGCTTACCGGTGGTTTCCTGCGCTTCCTCCATTGCCATTGCTAAAACGACAGGCAGAATACAATTCTAAAAAAGAGAAATCCATTTCAATGGTAGAAATCGAAAACAGAGCAGTGAAGACATATTAGAATCAAGCTGAATTTGAGGCTAGGCTAGGTGTTAACATTTTATTTTTTTATTCTACTATGAAGCATCTCTTTATTAATTTCCGTCTTGTTTCCCAGCTCCACCGTGAGTTTCCTGCCCGCCCCGATGATGGAGCCGCTCCAGTTTCCTCAAAGCTCGTCTCCCTGCGTCTCCCAGCAGCACCCAGGCCAGCAGTACGCAGGTAGCTGTGCCTTCAAACCCCTCACCCGTTTTTACAGTAGGATCACGAAGTGAAAGCGAGAATATTCTCATCTTCTGACACGAGCTACCCTGGAGATTCCCCATCACTGCCAGCGCTTTCAACACACTCCCCCCTCCCCCCCTCTCCTCTCCATTTCTTAGTGTCAATAACCTGCAAAATGCATTCCTGCACAGCCACCGGTCTGCATCCAGTAATGAAATAATCCTTCCTGGGCTGACTCTGGCTTTTGTTTGTGCGGCAATGCATAATTAGATTTCCTCTTTGGCGTTTTTAAAATGAAAAAGAGCGGCGATCTGCAGGTGCACCTTCCTTCCTCCGCCGAAAAACGTCCTCCTGACATCAAGACACGGTGAAAAACTGAGAGAGCAACAAATGTCTCCTCAGAGGAGGAAGTGAGACACATGATGTGATGTAGTTGTTAAGAGTTGGTTTCAATTAAAGCTGCAGAAATCTATTTGTTCCCATCAGGAAGAAATGATTCTTCAAAATGAGCCCAGCAGGAATATATGCTAAACTTCAACAGCAGATTCTTTTTTTATTTTTATTTTTTTAATTAAAGAAAAAAATAGTTAAGTTGTCCAGATTGCAATCAACTTTATAATGAAGCAAGAAGAGATGTTTGATGGATGCAGGCAAATTAAGTCTGAATTATGAAAATGTTTCTGCAAACTACATGTCATTACATGTTTCTGCCACCAGGGGGAAAATCCAAGTTCTGATTTATTATTTAGCTTCATTTTGTTTTTGAGCAATCATCATATTTAAGCATCTCCTGATCTGTGATTTCATAGATCAACAAACTGATTGAGTTTGAGTTGACGGTTACAGAAAACATGTTTGTTTTTTTGTTTGTTTTTTTTTCATACAACGCATTTAAAACATATTTCCAAACTGTTAAATTTGTCAAAAATAGCGAGATAATCCAAAAAAATGTATGTAATATTTCTTAAAATAGCAAAACTATATACCCAGAATCTAGTACAATGTACATTTTTACATTATTATTTAATTTTTACACCATATTCAATGTTAATAAAATTTTTTTTTTTTTGTGCATTCTCTTGTTTTAACAACACATTATTGCCACCTTGTGGCGTATTTGTGTAATTGCACCTTGTTTGATCCTAAACCGTCAGCCTTTTAAGTCACTCTTATTTAGAAAATTGCTTACACAGTAGCTTTGATTACAAAAATAGCTCAAAATGAGCTTTAATGTTGTGTGTTTTATGCTTTTTCAGTCTTTTTTTATTTTTTTGCCCAGGCTCCTCTCTAATGACCTTTATTATTCATGTCTGATTATTATGGAGGCTCAGAGGAGGGAGCCGTCTTTTCCAGCCCGTCAGTAATGAGGTCAGGCGAAGGTCTCGCTGCAGCCTCACCTGCAGCGTGACCAGTAAACACTTTTAATTGGCTGGGCTGCTCAGAATCGGCAGATTACTGTCCCACATATCCGTTGTCCTTGTTACTGTCAGAGGGAATAATTTCATAAATCAACGACGGGCAAAGTTTGCCGAACGGCTTCCACCCCGAGTGAGCTGAATGTAAACAGACGTTAATTAAACCGTGATGTATGCAATCGTTTGATTTCATGGGCTGCATTAACGTATAATTAGATAATTGAAGCGCTTTAATTCTTGAATGGAAACTTTTTTTTCTTATTTACCGATCAGGTGTGCATGAATAACGATCAGATGTGTGTTTCTGTTGATCCCGTCCTCCTAATGTGGCATCTGCCGATCTGTGTGCATCCAGGGTTGTTGCCAGCGGCGCCCGGCGGCGGCATGGTGATGCTGCAAATGGCCGCTCCTCCCTGCCAGCAGCCCCGGGCCTCGTCCCCCTGCCAGAGGAAGCAGCCCAGCCACAAACACTCCGACCAGCAGCAGCAGCGCGGCCGCAGGCCTGCAGACGTCCCCCAGACTCCCGATAACACCCAGGTACAAACACTGCACGGAAAAAAAAAAATGTTCTTGAAGTTTTGACGACCTCCAATTCTGATTCTGCCGTTTTCCAACCATTCCCGATTAGCACGCTCGCGCAGCTTTGGGGACAAACCCCGCTGTACGTCGGCGAGCCGCGGCCGTGTCGAGAAAGCAATTTAAAAGCTAATTTAGTCAGGTTGTGACAGTGATTTGAGAATTGTCGCCCTGAGCCAGACTTGGTCTCTCCCCGCCGCGGCAGGCGGGTTAAATGTCGCCGCAAATAGGCTGCGCAAATGAAGCCGGCGCCGCCGAAAACCTGAAAACGAGGAGAAAATAGTCCTTAGCGCCGGGGTGTAATGGTACATTAGTGGGACTAATGTGGATGAAATGGTACATTAAAGCAACCACTTGAACATCACAATGACTTTGGAGAAGTAGTTGGAGGAGGAGTAGTTGTTTTTCTTTTTTTTTTGTTGTTGTTTGTTTTTGTTTTGTTTTTTAATGAAAGTGTTTGTGTTTGTCCCTTTCCTGTTCCTGCGCCGCCGGCGGGTTGGCTGTAGAGCAGCCTGCCTTCGTCTCCGGCGCTCACCCCCTCGCCCTGCCAGCCGCCCCACATCAAGGCCCTCTCGTCAGGCGTCTCCCCCATCCCCGTCCTGTCCCACCACCCGCAGCTCCCTACAGCCTTCATCCACACTGGACAAGGTCCGAACCGCTCCTCTCTGATCCACTCACACCATTTCTGCTCAGAACTGGCCCAACGTGGGTTCACCTCTCTTCCAGGTGAAGCGCATTACTCTCTCCTGGGTCAGCCTCTGCAGTACAAGCCCTCCTCCATCAGGCCTCCGCTGCTGCACACTGCACACATGGTAGCCAAACACCAGGTAAAAATTATCTGCTTACAAGGAGAAACTCCTTAAATCCGTCGTCGTTTTTTAATTCCAACGATTTTCTTTCTCCGCTCCTTCAGGGTCCTCTGGGAGTTTGGCGTAGCGGTCATGGGAGGAAGTCCAGCAGAAAGCCTCTATCTTCAGACCTCAGTGTATGTAGAGAGGAGATTTCAGATGGAACAGCTTCATTTTTTAAAGTAAATTCATCTTTAATTGCAGGAAAACGTCTTTAAAATCCCTACTGTTGTGCACGTTGGAGGATGTGTGATGCTGTGAACCGGTAACATTAAACTGAAATGATCACAAGTCCTCCACCAAACAGAAGAATGGACAAAATTTCTCCTTTTGAAAGAGATTTTTAAACCTGGGTTACAAATTAGAAATTCAAATTAAGAAAAACATTGCTCACTTCTAATTTCTTGGATTCGTACCAACATATTCTCATGAGTTGGAATAATTTATTGAATAAGACACATTTATTTTCCTCCAGTAAATCTGGGCTGTATATCTAACAGCATCTTTTAGCTGCTTCACACAAAAAAAATTCCCCAACAAGCAGCGTTTATTTCCTGACGGGAGCCATCAGGCCGATAAAAAACCAGCTGCTTTGATACCAATTTAGCAGATTAAGTGAAAGTAGCATCACTTTTCTTGTCAGATTATGCTTGCCGTGCTCCTCCGTTGTGGAAAAAGCGTCTGTTGGTGGATGGATGTAAGCAGAATAAATTACAGACGAGGCAGAAATCACACCTGCCAGAGGAACCTGCAGCAACGGCAGTATTTTCCCTGACAGAAAATGTGCTGATTTCAATCATTCAGCCGTATTATTATTGTTGAGGGGGTTTTTTGCTGAAATTTCTCCTGTCGACAAAAAAATTACTTGATTTTTTTTTTTTTTTTTCCTCTAAATGTAAGAATAAAAATCTTGACTCTGTTTTCTCTGAAAATGTCAGCAGTTTGTCGAAGCCTCAACAGCTCCAGCTCCGATGTTCTCTTCATCCATGATGGTTGTTTTATTTACCAGCTGTGTGTGTGTGTGTGTGTGTGTGTGTGCGTGCGCAGTGAGCAGCAGTCAGAGCCTGGAAATGACGCTTCCTCTGGAGGAGATCGGCTGCACAGACTCCCTCTGGAGGCTCTGTGAAGCGGCGGCAGATCAATCCAGCGGCTCGATGCGAGCAGCGGCGCTCCCGGTGGACATCCGGCCTCATCACACCTCGCCTTTGCCAAAACAAAGAAAAACAAAACGCGCCACCTTAAAAACTCTGGCACCGGATTCAAAGGGTGGGAGCGGCGCGACTCGGACGAGGCCGGCCCGACACCGCTTGGGTCTTCGGTGCAACTTTAAGGCGCCAACTTGAACCTCTGCTGCCTCAGTTCTGGACCGTCTCTCAGACGCGGTCCAAATCAAAGTATCAGATGTTTGACTTGTGAACATTCACATTTATTTTTGTTTGTTTTATAGCTTTTTTGTTTCTTCCTGGCAGACGTATTTGTACAGAGTTCAGCAAATCTGCCTTTCTGTTCTAAAACGTTTTTTCTTAGAGGATTTATTTGCCAGCTCGTGTGCCTCTTGTGATAGCAGATATAGGACTGTGACAGCTCCACGTAGACCAAGGCACACTCACAAATGATTTGTTTTTGCCCACTTTTGTTTTTTTTTTTTGTTTGTTTTTTTCAAATAAAAGGATTGAATTTTGTTAAAGGTTACAAAACTAGCTTTTATCTTCAGTTGGATATCTGACGCTCTCCCCAGTAACATCTGTACAATGTGAAAACACTGAATAATAGAGACTACCTGAATTATTTAAAGAACCGTCAAACACAGTGAATGTTGCATTTGCACTGATTAATCAAAGTGAAAGATTTGATTTGTATCTAAGCCTGGGTTTTTTTTTTTTTGTTTTTTTTTCTTTTATGATCCTCCCTCCCATACCTGTTTGTTGCACTCGCCAGGCCACTTTGTTTTATATGATTAAATTAAAATTGTTTAAATGCACAATTAAAATGCAAACGGAGTGTGTCACTCTTGACTTAATTTGTGAAACAAGAGTTTTTCATACTTTTTTTTTTCTGGTTTGTTTGACTTTAATAAATGTTTGCACCACACATATTGACACTTAAGTCAGGTTATTAAACTTTTCTGATTTGTCTCTGCTTAGCAACTTTATTTGGTTTTGCTGAGAAAAAGAACTAAATGAGCCGAACTGCTGTTTGAACCCGTCCGTTCGGATTTGGGTAAACAGAGACACCTAGTGGACAAATGGCGCTACTGCACCTAGTGGACAGAAGATGTTCCTACAGCGCCCCACTGTTTCACTCGAGAGTGAAAATGAAACTGAACGGCTGCTTTAGTTGTGAGTGGTTATAGCAACGCAAAGCGTGGCTGGAGAAAAGGCGGTAAGAACAGGCTGCGATGTTTACTGGGCTCCATGGCTACAGTCATGGCGGACAGCTGCAGGACGGTGGTCGTATCCGGTGTGCCCGCGGTGCTGGAGTTCAGCAGGATGGTCGACAAGTTGATTATCCACTTTCAGAGTCGTAGGAGAAGTCACGGAGGGGACGTGGAAGTCGTGAAATACCCCACTGACATGGGCGGAGTAGCCTTCGTGACTTTTGACAAAGCTGAAGGTAAAGTAGCTGCTGTTTGTGGAGGAAAATCTTCACATGTACGCTGGAGGGGGAAAACCATTCTTAGGAGACTAGTTCTGTGTTTTGATTATGACGTTGACCACCTAGGCCTTCCCTCTGAAGTTCACATTTCACCCCGGAACTGTTGAAAGTATAAAATATAAGACTTCTCGTTTTCTTCAGGCGTCGTGCGTCAGTGTTGCCGCCATCTTCAAAAAACTGCTCTGTTGTGATACTGAGGCGTTAACAGCTGCAGGATATTCTTCAGTATTAGGAAAGAAGAATGAGTTCTACAAACAATTTGGGGGTTTATGTAGACGGTGTTTCCCTGCCCAGAGCGGCTGTATGTGGGTGCTTTCTCTGAGTGGTATATCCTGAAAAAAAAAATCTATAAAACCCTTATTTTGTTTGTAGGAACGTTTAAAAATGCCTTAGGTTTGGATGGGCATGGAAAATGCAATATATTACATAGACAGATGTGATCTAGACTAGTGTTTTTCTACTCAGGACTTATTGACCTGCATGATTTAGGTGCTGCACTAACCTGACTTAAATAAATGCTGCTTCTGCATCACTTCATGGTAGTGCAAACATTTGATTCAGGTGTGCTGGAGCAGGGTAACATCTAAAAGTGAAGGAATAAGGTCGAAAACTTGGTACACCCCTGAACAAGCATGCAACAACAGTGGAGAGAAAACGTCCCCTTTAACAGAAAGAAATCTCCAGCAGGATCAGTTTGCGCATCCATCTGCCACAACCAACTGGGGATTTGAGAATACAGAGTATTCACACTCATGAAGAATCAGGAGTACTTTTTGTTAGAGAAAAGTAAGAAGTCAGTGGTGGCTTCATCCAAGAGAGGAAAAAAATAAGACTTAAAGTTATTGGGGGTTGAGGGTTTGGTGGAGTCAGGATTCATCAGATCGTGAAGCATCATGTTTTTTTGGAGACTTTAACAGATTGGTTGAAACTCTTGGCAGATGCAAAGCGGGTGTTGAGAAAGGAGCAGCAAATCATGATGGATGAGGAGTTTACTCAAGACTACGTTCTCACTGTGTTTCCCTTCAGCACTGATGTATGTATGGTTTGGTTTTACTTTGCATCAATTTCAAAATGGAAATCTATTTTATGTTTTATCCCCAACACACGAGATTCTGATTCTGACGTGCTTTTCTGCCGCAGGTGTTTCTGTACGTGGCCGGAGCTACGGTGGACCTCTCAGTTTTCGGCAGCGATCAGGCCTCTCTGATCAAAAGTCTGCAATCGGCTCACAGATCAATCCGCTTCCAAGCGTCACCCCAGCAGAGGAAGGCCTCCATAGAGGGTCCCTTCTCTGCCGTCAGTGCCCTGAAAGAGGACCTCATCCGAAGGGCCAGCCATCTCAGGCCCTCATCCCAAACCGCAGTCGGCAAACCCAGAGCTAGCTCTCCTCATCCTAGACTAGCATCCAAGAATAGCCCAACAAGCTGCAGAAGCACAGAAGCTAACAGGGAAGCAGCAAACTCCAGCAACTTATCAAAGTCACCTCACCACACTAGAGAAGCAAGAGAAGTCCAAAGCCTGATCTCAAAAGCAGAAACTCCAAAAGCTTTCTTGAGGCAGAAAGTGTCTAATGAGAGTTTGGCTGGAGGGAGCTTCAGACCAGCGGCTGGGGAGGAAATAAGTACACGACTCGTCTCCTCATCAGGGCTCGCATGTTTCCCTATGGAGGAGACATTCACTAAACGGCAAAGAGATTATAGGAGTGCACAACAACCTGGCAGGTCAGACAAGATCAGTGCCATCCAAAGCGGAGCTAATTATATGAAGGATCCCGGCAGCCCAATGAGGAACAGTAAGTTCCCTCAGAATGACCTGAGAAAAGGTTCAACTCCCTCAACAAGCAGCGCAGGGACTTCTGAGTACATTTTGGTTGACTTTCACACATTCAGATACATAGAAAAATTTCACAAGACAGAGTTAGACAGGTGCTTGAAGGATGTTGACATGACTACCACGGAAGTAGAAGGAGCTGGAGTAATGGAAATATTGCTGAGTGTGAAGCAACCGTCTGGGGCCTCGTCAGGAACCCTCAGAGACGCTTTGGAAAACCTGGAGAATATGATCTACTTTTGGCAGTCTAAACTGAGAGTTCACGTGATCGATTACAACAAATCTGTGTTTTTTGACAAGCAGAAACTGATTGAGATGTGCAACCATGTGAACGACTGGTACAATAATGTTCTGTATCTGTTGGAGAATTCCTGCATTAAAGTGATCGGCCCTTCAGCAAACATCCTCCTGTTCAGTAAGGAGCTGGAGGACATGATGGATAAATACTCTGCTGTGAAGCCTGTTATAGGCAAAAGCAGGAGATAAAATCACATAGGAGACCACAAGGGGGAGCTGTTGGGCCTGACCAAACCTTTTCTTGCACTGAAATTAGGGCGTACATTCCTGTTTTTACAACAAATGTGACCAAACAAAAAAAGACTTTTGTTTTACTTAATTTTAGTTTTCTGTAATCTGTTTTGCATAAATTATTGCTCTATTACAGTAGACAAACTTCTCATTAAAACCTAAAAGGTGACAGATGACAAGCTGCCTGATGTAATCAGATCACTTCAACCTCTTTCTGTAAACTCATGCAGTATTTTGATTGGTCTGTCTGTCTCCAACAATAAAACACTGACATCTGCGGTTGTAATGTGATTAATTAAGAAATATTTCGGGGTATGTAATCATCAGTGGACAGCAGGGGGCAGTGTAACACACCACCACCCACATGGTAAACGAGCCCCTTCTCTCTGGGTGCCACGGCTCAACCCAACCAAGCAGGGATTTTTTTTCTTTTCTTTTTTTTTTTTCTTTGTAGGCTGGGTTTTGGCAAGCAGGGTGCCGATTGGAAGACAAATGATGTCAGATGGATGTCCTATCAAACCCCCATCTCTGCTTACACACACAGAGCACCGCAGCCCATCTGATGAGAGGAGACGCTCAGCGAAGCGATGTCGTGTTGCGGCTGCTTTCATTATTTCAGGGTGCTATTATTCAGATGGGTCCGCTCGGCAGCAGGGATAATTGATTCATTATGTTAAAATAAGCCACGCGGCCGTAATGAACACACACAAACACGATCCCCCCCCCCCCCCCCCCAGCCGGTCCCCCTTAAACCGTTACCCAAAGAACCCCACAAGGGGGGGTTGC